AAAACTCTCTTCCTTCTCTCTTCTTTCTCTATCTATTGGAAGACACCATTCAAGACCAAGATAGGGTAGGGTTTTGGGGGCTGTTAAGGGAAGATTTTACAATCAATTCTACATCAAACATTAAGGTATGGTATTTAATCAACCTTTGATACCTCTTTCCTCATAGGGTTCCTTCAAAGTATTTTCAAAAGTTGAGTTTTCATGTAGGCCTTTGTCAATCTCGAAAATTATGTTATGAATTGATTTTTTATGATATATTTTGGATATTATGAGTAAATTAAAATTTATTGTAACTTAATTATGATATATATATTGATGGTTTGGTCTAGTTTGTATAAGATGACCCTTAACCCTTAACCCTAAGTTTTGATCTTGATATGAATACCCCAATCCTGCACGTTTTAACTAAGTCTTAACTAATTAATTAAGGGGTTTGGTGGTTATTTAGGGATTAAAGGAAGTTTAATTAACTTAATTAATCCCCCATGTAAATACCCCAATCCCATTAGACTAATTACAACTCATAAAACAAAACTCTCTTCCTTCTCTCTTTTTTCTCTCTCTATTGAAAGACACCATTGAAGACCAAGCTAGGGAAGAGTTTTTGGGGATGTGAAGGGATGATTTCACCATAAATTCTTCATCAAATATTAAGTTATGTGATATAATTCACCTTTGATACCTCTTTCCTTAAAGAGTTCTTTCAAAGTGTTTTCAAAAGTTTAGTTTTCATGTGGGTCTTACTCAATCTCGAAAATTATGTTATGAATTGATTTTATTATAATTAATTTTGGATATTAGGAGTATATTAAAATGTATTCTAACTTAATTATTATATATCTTGATGGTTTGGTCTAGTTTGTATAAGATGACCCTTAACCCTTAACCCTAAGTTTTGATCTTGATATGAATTAGGTTGTGTTGGTTCAATTGACTTGATTATTGGTTGAATTACTACTAGATGATGTTTTTACACTATTCATGAATGAATAGGGTTATTTATAGTCTTTCATGCTAGTGCTTGAGAAGATGATCTAGTTTATAAAGTATATTGTGAATTGACCTAAGTATCATGTCTTAAGCTATGATCTAGTATTGAATTGTGATGTAGTGATTCTTATAGCCTTTTTATCATGTTGATTATTGACTTATGATGATTTATACCAAAATTGGGTTGAATTGAGGGTTTATGGTAAGACCTTGATGATTAACTATGAAGGAGTCTTGGTACGTCTTATGATCTCTATCATTTACTTCAAATTGTGGTTAATTGTGATTAAGTCATGATGTTGTATTAGAGTATTCTTTGCATTTGTATTGATATGGTGGTATGATGTTGAATTTAAATGTCTTGATTTTGATTGTGAGGTGTTGGCTTAAGATGTACATGTTACAAAAAGGATGAATGATTTACCAATATGCCTTATCAGGATATGAAGACGTTAATATGCTAACCTCACCTATATGAATTACACTGAAAGGATTTCTGGTCATGCAATTCTTATTGATATATTGATGATGAAGCATATAAAATTTTGAAAGGAACTTTTTCAATAAAGTTTCAAGAATCCTTATATAAATTGAAATAATCAAGGAAGAAAAGGGTATAAAAAGAATGACCCGAATTTTCCTTGAATTATTATGAAAATGTCAGAATCTGAATTTGTTATAAATTGTGTATGTTGATGACCTGAAATTACTAACTCTTAAGGAGATTATAAAAGATATTGAGTATTTGAGAAAAGGATCTAAAATGAAAAGATTCTGGAAAGACATAATTTCGTCTTGACATAAGACTGAGAATTTGACGAATGAAATATTTGTCCATCAATCAACATACACAGAAAAGTATTGATGTGATCTTTTATATGGATAAATCACATATAGTGAGTATCCCAATGATTATAAGGTCGCTTGACATAAATGATGATTCAGTATGATTTCAAAAGAAGGATGAAGAGATTCTTGGTGATGAAACTTTATAACTTAGTGCAATCAGCGTACTTGATTAGGCATTTGTTTTGCAGTAAATTTAATAGCAAGATTCAGTTCCTCCCCAACAAAAATGCGTTGAAATGGTGTTGAGCACATACTTGCATATTCTCGAAGGACCCTAGTTATAATTTTATTCTATTTCGAGGAATCTAAGGCAGAATTGATTGGTTACACAAATGCAGAATATTTATTTGATCCACATAAAGCTCGATCTCAAGTACACTATTTGTTTGCATGTGGAGGCACAATAATATCTTGGCTATTAATGAAGCAAATGTAGGTGACCACTTCTTCAAACCATGTAGAAATAAAAGTCTTCTATGAAGCAAGTCGATAGTGCGTCTGGTTGAGATCAATGACACATCGTATTCAGGAAATATGTGAGTTTTTTTGAAAAAAAATTTACCAACCACAATGTTCAAAGATAATCAACTGCAAATGAAAGTGTCCACAAGATGATTATTGTTGTGAACAAGTTTAATGTGCAATTTACTTGCAACAACGAGGTTATGACGAATGAAATGATATTCAGTTCGATTAAGCTCAAAGCTTCGTCATATTCATCAATTCAGAAAATGATATATCAAAATGAGTTTAACAATGCTACATCTTCGTGAATGTGATTTGATCACAAAGACAATGTCAATATCAATATTTAAGAAGTTGGTGTATAAGATTGGAGACATCATCGCATGAAATTATGTGATGTTTTAATCAGCGGGAGTATAATACGCGTTGCACTCTTTTTTTCCTTGACCGAGGTTTTGTCCCACTGGGTTTTCCTAGCAAGTTTTTTAGTGAGGCAATAAATAGTGCATATAAAAAAATATGTGTTCTCTTTTTCCTTCACTAGAATTTTTTCTCACAGGATTTTTCCTACTATGATTTTAACGAGGCATATAATCTATAGACATACAAGGGAGAATGTTATAAATCCATTGAATTAAGTGGATGATCCATTTATTCATGAACTTATCCTTATCATGGATGAATATGCATTCCTAAGATTTATCTTTATCTTAAATATGTATATTCCCAAGGTGACATAAACCTTTATGGGATAATGATGTATCGATGAATTTGACATTCATCAAAGTGGCTTTTGAGGTGATTTCTCTACTCATAAAAAGAGGTATCATTCTCAATCTATATCTATCTATCTATATCTATCTATCTATCTCTCTCTCTCTCTCTCTCTTTATATATATATATATATATATATATATAT